GAGCTGGTTCAGCTCCTTGTCTTTGCAAGGTTAGTTAGACACTATGGGGATCCCAGCACCCCCGTCCCCATCCCCTTGAAATGCTCTTGGAAATATCCTGTAGCAAGAACAGCATGGCCAGAGTCTTGGCTTCTCCTGCTATGATAGACTAGATCTGGTCGCTTTAAGGTGATGGCCATATCCCATACATACACATAGTAGTCTCCTGAAGTTTCCCGTGCTCTTCTCCTCTGAAGAAAACCGACAAAACCCAAGACCTCCTCTGCAGCCCCATCGGGGACTCAGCGAGGTGACTCACGGGTCACATGTCATTTTGCCTGGATAATATATCAGACTGGTTAGAAAGAGAGGGGGCACAGAGCTGTGTGTTAGAGACATGACTCGCTAGGTGACCTTCAGCTTACATCTCTTGGGAAAAATATTTAATTGGAAAGAGACTTTTAACACTGGTCTCAGGTTACGGTTAACATCTTCACAGGGTGTTATGAAGAGGCCAGAGGAGCACATGCCAGGTATGGGGCAGGAGCTCTCAACTGACATGACTTGGCTGTAGTTTCTCAAGAGCCCAGCTTAGGACAAAATACCACTCACGCCACATGCAGCCTCCATTTCCACATCACAACTACTGCTGTTGCTGGTATAAATACAATATGATCTTGTCTTATAGCATGGTACAGACTAAATGATCTGTCAAGATGTAGTCCAGGTTTATTTCCTATGGGTTTATTCCTTATTTGTCCATGCTGTGCAACACACGATCATAAGCTATCTTTCTTACCTGGGTAAGGAAAAGGGTAAAGATGACTGGGGATTGATTTGCAACTGTTGAATAAAAGCTGCTTCAGAAATACTAAAATGGTGATATAACCTCAAGTTATAAGAGTCTGATATTAATTATAGGGTACACACACATAGGAGTGATGTTTTGGTCTTGTTTAAAAGATGTAAAGCTTTCAAATACTGTAAGCTGCCTGCATGGGAAGGTTTGCTGTTTCTTGCTGTGTGATTTTTTGAGTTATTGTACATGCCTCCTCTGATAGACCCCGGGGTAATCTTTGTTTAAAGTCTTTCATAGCTTTGAAAACGTGTTCTCCTCACTTGGCTGAAAAAAAGATATTTTTCAAGGGGCAGATTCCCTTCTTCAGCTGACTCTCACCCTGTGCAGAAGTCAGGCTGTTAAAAAAAAGTATTTAGTGAATTCCCTGCCAATAGAATATTGGTATATAGCAAAGTATTGCTCTGATATTTTTCCCTTACCAAAGCGGACAAGGACCGTCCTATTGATCTCCCCCATGCTACAGGTTGCGAAATGAAGACAGGGACCATTTCAACATTTTTTACTGTAGTGGCAGTTTCCTGATGTAATCCAGAATTATTCCCTGCTGGCCAAACAAGAGCTCACAAAAAAAGGCCAGCCCTCAGCTGAGCATCTGATTCAAAAGAAAATTCAGCTGAAAGCTGAGCATTGGAAAGATGAGTCAATACAAAAGCAAGTGGCAGCTCTGGATTTAAGCAGAAGTCCACACCATTTAACCTACTTTAGCAGATCAATGCAGAGGATTTTTAATCATCACATTAATCCTAAAATAAAAATAATTACCCCAGAGATCCGTATTAAAGTCCCTCAATTATATCGCATTTCATCATCCTTTTCACTCAGAATCAGGAGTTACAGAGACCAGAGCTCCCTGATGTCATTCTCCAGCTTGCAGTTTAACTCTCTCATTAGGATTTTAGCTGCTACTACGGGGATGAGGCATTGGCCATGCTAAGAGCACCCACATCCATCCCACTTGGGGGAAAACCAAAAAAGGGAAAAAAGGGTGGGGAGGATGTTGCTTTCCAACAAGACGGTACAAAGCAGGGGAAGGAGCAGAGAACATTATATGGTGGGTGAAAAACGTGCAAATACCTAGAAATTCACTCTACATTCTCCTCTTCTTCCAGCAATGCCAGGACCTCTTTAATATCTCATTAAGGGGAAAGAGACTACTTGAGTGGAAGCTGGGCTTCTTATCAATTTTCACTGATCAGAGTTTGTTTCCTGGAGCATCCTCTCCTGCCTGCAGTCCTGCCATCCCCACAGCCAGGCTTTGGGAGCATGGCCGTGGGCAAATGCAGGACCACAAGCCTCCATGGCTCCCTCCAGGAAGAGCTTCAGGTGGGTTTTATGGTAATAAAACCAGCCCATTCCCTGCTTGTAGTGGCATGGCATAGCTTACATTCATACAGCTAACCCTTCCATCTTTGTCCCAGAAAAGGGTGTGTTTGTCCACACCGTTTATTGGGACTAGTCTCTAGTCTATGCTGTCCCATGCATTGTGCCCAAGCTGCTTGTTTTGGGTCAGATTCCCCCTGCCTTCCTGGTCTTTACCTATTTCCACCATCTTCTTGCAGAGAAACAAGTTAGTCCTGTGTAATATTTAGGCTTTTTTTGCTGAAATAGTACTTCAGGGCAATTTTCAGGTTTCTTTAAATAAATTAGGGAACTTCCTGCTGCCTTGGGAAGAGGCCCAGAGGCCTGTTAATGTCGTGGATGTTGGGATGCAAGCAAAGGCTATCATAAAACAGACAGCGTGTTGGATCCTAATGAGTAAATGGCTTTAGGTTTAGGCAGCATCCCCAAGCTCCAGCTTGACAAGCAGCACCAAAGCTATAAATAACCCACTTCCCCTCTGCAAGGATGCTCTCCAAAACCACCAGCTCCACTGTGGTCCCTGGAGGTGCAAGCTATAACATGTCCAAGGAACCTCACAGCCAGCATCAGCTCCTAACAGGGTACTTAACACAGGAGGTTTGTGAAAGAAAAGACTAATAAAAGGTTACAGCTACCTACATGGAGCAGATGATTGGCAATTTAACTGCCCGGGAATGATCACCATAATGCACTGCAGGGCATGAGAGTGAGAGGGGGAAAGAAAAAGTGAAAAAGTACCTTCATGATAATATTATGGTAACAATGTAGGCTGCTAGGTAGATCACCTTTCTATCATTAATAACTGACAGCCAGAGACTGCCACATCGTGCATTTTTATTTCCATGAAAGATGGGAAATACCACTTCCCAGCAGAAAGCAGCCAAAGTGGTTTGTCCCTGCACTGAGTCGGGGGAAAGCCTCCTTGAGACTTTCATGTGACACACACAAAAAAAATATTAAAATCAATCATTACAAACTGCAATAAAAAAATTTAAATAAACAGTGTTTTCCAGTCCAAGTGTGAAAATGTACGCTCATCTCCCTTCTTGAGCCCCTTTGATGGCAGAATGCTCGGAACCAGACTTTCTCCTAGCAAGCCAGGGAATTGGACATCACCTTTTTTTCATTCCCTGCAGCCTGCTGATGACAGACGAGGCTTCCCGGGCACAAGGCAGGACAGACACTGGCCACAGACATCACTCACTGTAAGAGTTTTAGCTGAATCTTCTCATCATTGTATCTTTACTTTGCCTTTTTTTCATTTGAATTTATACTTGGAATTTATTTTTCATTGTTCTAGTCATGTTGCAGTCATTTTGACTTAGAAAAGCAAGTATTGGTAGGGCTGCAAGGCCTCCAGAATAAATGGCAAAAACTGAGAAAATAAGGCAAGATGAGACCTCAGCTGGTCATAAAGTCATCCTCTCAACACCAAGGCAGCTCGCTACTACCCTTGTCTACCTAACTGGTTCCTGAAGCCGCCAAAGATGGAGATTGTATACCTCCTCGGGTAGCCTTTTTCTTTAAAAGTTTCCCTTCATGGTTAAATCCAAATCTTTCGTGCTGCAAATTAAGTCCATGACTTCTTGTCACATCATGAATCTTCAGAGAGATCTGTTTATTACCTTCCTCTTGGCAGAAATAGTTTGGATATTTCAAGATAGTTATCACATCTCCCATCAATTTCCTCCAAGCCAAACACAGTTTTTCTACACCTCTGCTCATTCTTGCTGCTTTCCTTTGGCTCCTTCCAACTGAGTCCCATCTTTCTGGAAGTGAGGTGCTCAAAAGCAAACAAAGTCTCCCAGCCAAGGCCTCACTGCTAAGCAAGGCACACAAATTGCTCTGTGGATAAACTACAACACTCCTGTCCATACATAGTAATATCATGCTTGCTGTCCACCCCCCAGCAAGAAACATTTGATGATTTGTCTTTGTTTTGCTTGCTCTTGGCACAAGGCAAACAACTACATGACTTGCAAACCAGGTAAGAACCAAACCATTGATGTCTTCTATCAAAATGCAGCTAAATTCCAATCAAAAATTCCACAGCAGCTGCCTACACTGTTGAAACCCACTTACCTCAAAGCATGTAAGAGAAACATTTCCCTTTATAAAATTATACAAGATGTAACACTTCCAACTAGATTTAAGTAAAATAAGCTCTGCATGGGTCAAGGTTAAACACTTGAAGATCCCCACTGGTATTTGCTGTAAAAAAGAGCAGTACCATTTTCAGATCAAAGACTAATGTGTTCTGTAACAAAGCAGTCTCAGCAGTAATTCATGACAATACAGCAGTGAAAAAATGAAGTGCTCTTGCTGTTATTTGGAACATTAATATTTCCACTTTGATTTTAGGAATTACATCTGCATGTTTGTTTCTAAAGACATTAAAGTTCAGGCAATGAGCATGCTACCTTATTTCAACCTCTGAAGTCACTCCAGCTTGAACTTACATAGGGTGAGAAGCCTCTATGGCAGGTTCTGATCAGGGGCAAATACTCAGGTGGTACAAGTCACTCTAGCTTAAGTTGAGTAAGACCTAGATTTTTACAACAGCTGAGGACTAAAACACAATCTAAAAAACGTACAAATCATTATATTCTGCCTAACATTCTCCTTTATTAATAATCTAACAGACATTACAGATGCCGGATGCACCTTCCTAGATTGACAGGATTTTAATATCATCAGTACAACGCCAAGAAGTGGTTTGAACTATTTTAATGGTATGGCTGGATCTCTGTCTCCATTCAGTCCGATCAGACAACTTTTCCTGTTCCCTCAAATTCCCCCTTACCTTTTGAGATAGTTTCTCCCATAGAGAATCTGCTGCAGCAAGGTGACCACAGCAAAGGCGCAGATGAATATGAAGAACAAAGTTCTGTTTCCCAGTAAATCCCTGCTTGATGAAGGGTCAGTATATCCCATCCTTCTTAAAAGCCACTGAAGCTCCACTGGGGAAAATTCAGTTCATTGTCACTTTCATGCCTTTTTTGCTGGCAAGCGGAGGGGAACGCTTGCTGGCTTTTCTGTGAGCAATCCAAGGACAAGGTATCCCATTGTTTGGCCCTGCTGCCCCTTCCTTGCCCCTTTTGGATGTTAGCTCCAGGATTGTGCGCAATAGCTTGCTTCCACGGTAAAGTTTCCAGGAGATTCAGACGTGGATAACATCTAAAATCATCTCTCAGAGCTCCTTCAGCGCAGGCAGCCTATGCTGTGCAAGAGGCATTCTGTTCCCTCTAAGCCTCTCTTGAAAACCCGCTGCTAGCAATTATCTACTTCAATCCCATTTTCATATTCCAGATGGGGGAAGCTGCAAATAAACCAGAAAACTGCAGCCAATGGCAAACACAGGGCTCCGTCAACCTGCGTTGGAAACACATAGTCGTCAGCTCTTCTTTGCTTCTGCTCAGTGATTCCAATGAAATGTGCTTGCAAGGAGACGTGACTGGGGTGTGCTATTATTGAACAAGCATGTAATGATCATGAGGATTTCATTCAGTCCCCTGCAAAAAACAACAGCAGCAATCTGGTCAGGCTAGCAGGAAAGATGCATTTTGTGTAGCAGCGTGCCGTCTGTACCGTGCCTTCGGTACTGTAGCATTTGCATGCAGAATGCAGTGCCTTTAGTCATACATCACTCACTATTTGGGCTCCTGTATTTCCCCTGGTTATTCCTCCAGAGTAAGCATAGGCAAGGTCACTGTGCATCTCTTCAAGGACAGAGCTCTCAGTTCCTGCATGCTGATTTATTGGAGGCTCTGAGTAGCCTCACAGCCGCAGAGAGGGAGACTGCCTCTGAGTGCAGGCTCTAAGAATCATTCATTTAAAGAGACAAATATTCTGATTGTTCCTCCACCAGAAACAGTTCTCTTTTGAAAGGGCAAAGCAACAAGACCTTGTCCACAGCCATCATAACTCCTCTAAAAATCTCCCCATTGTCTGAGAGGCTCAGTTCAGCTCACAGGGAAATCAATGAGAGTTTTGTTGCTGATTTCACTGAGAGAAAAATCGGCCCCCAACCCTTAGCTTCTTAAAACAAGTTCCAATGAAAGCTTTATCTATGAATGAAACATCCTGGCAAGGAGGTTGTTTTGCCCCTATAACAGATGGGAAAATGATTTTGACAACAAAATGTGGAAAAAAAAATCCTTTGTCTAAGAGAATGGGAAGATTTTTGTGTGAATAAATTTTCCAACGGTTAAATCAGTGTATGCAAAATGTTCTAGTGTGCCAGCAGCCCAGCTGTGCAAAGCAGCAAACGGGGACTGTTTCTAGACTTTGTCTTAGCTGTAATTGGCACTGCATGGGAAGAAGGGCCAAAGGTAACTTTGTGCAACCCTTTCAACCCAGTTCCTGAAGCCAGGGCCTGTCCTCAGCATGACCTACAGCAATTTAGGCAAGACAATCAAGGGCTAAAGCGGTATTTGCCTTACCTAATTTTAAGCAACAAAAGTATCAAAAGCGTTAAAGGTAGGAACCTAGTCACCCTGAAGTCCTGCAGGCCGGGAGATCTCCCCAGGGAAGATCCAGCCCTTCAGATTCCCTTGGCTTTGCAGAGAAGGTGTAAGGATCCAGCCTCTGACACATCCTTCTTCATTCCCTTCCAAAGCTCCCCCGCATGCATTTGTGAACCCTGCTAAATGTTTCAGTTATCACCTGTGCATATAAAAAGAGTGTTCATCCTAGGTCAGATCAAAGATTATCCAGCCCAGTACCTTGTCCCTGACATTGGCCAGTAATGGACACACAGGCAAAAGCAGAAGACATCAAGGACATATTGATACTTCCTTGGAAACACTCTCTTACCATTTGTGGTTCAGGGTCTTCCTGAACCATGTGAAGAAAAACAATATTTTGCTTAGAAAAATAACTGAGTTGCATGCACTCATTTGTACTGTACTGGGAATAATACACACACCAGGGGACTGCAAATTAAATAGCAAAAGAAGTTTGATTCCCACTGGTCAAAGTCATCAGCTCTAGGGCCAAATACATTTCTTTTAATGATCAGTTCATGTAAGCCCATATCACAGGAGAGTGTTCCCATATAGGTACCATACTGTTCAGATGGATCTAACCGCATACCCTTCTCAGTAACAGGAAAATCGGTATGGCCATCAGAAATCCCAGGCTGGAACCCCACAAGATACTACACAGGCGGATTTGTATGGGGAAGCTGAGAGGTAAGGCCAGAAAGGGGAGATGTGAATGAAAAGGTACTTAATGCTTTGGTTTATTGGATTTTTTCTAATAGCTTTGAAAATCCCCTCCAATAAATTTGTCTCAATTGCTTCAGGACTAATTTTGCAATAACAGCAAAGTATCAGAGAGCAGAATTTGGTTACTTATGACCTTCCATGGGTGTGATGGCAGTTTTGCAGATTTTAGTATCACCTAGGTTTTGGTGAAAACATTTTCAGCCTTTCTTACTGTATTCCCCTCCATTCAAAGTGATTCTTTTTTTCTTGAGATATCTACGCTGTAGTGCACCAAACTTATGAGCCTAGAACCTATTCTTTCTCCTGGACTGATGGTCAGCCTGACCTGCAGTAAACAGCCCAGAAGCACCATGTCAGTTTTTGATTTTCTGCATCCTTTCATCTTTCTCTGCTATATCAGAGCTGGCCAGAAGATACAGCACCTGAGAGGCCTACGTGCAGGAGAGCTGCACGCCTAAAGCAAAAAGCAAAGCACAAAGATATATATTACAAGTGGAGAGAGTTTTCAGTGCCAGATCTTGCACGACACTGTTCCTGATGTCACGTGTAACAGAAATCTGTTTGCTGCCTTCAGCCCAATACGATGATAACACTGCTAAACTGGAAGCTCTATGCCAGCATAAAGAAATAGGATGTCTATCGACAGATTTTCAAAGGATGCTTAAGATGGCCTGCAGTGTTTATTGTGAGTAAAAACAGTCATATAGTGCATGCAGAAGGGCTGAATGAGCAATGCCAGCACTCATTCCCAGGGCCCTTTGAGAGTTTGACTTGTCAACTACAGGCCTCCTTGAAAGCATCAGGCCTCTGCAGAGAACAAATTAATGTTTTTTTAATGATTTTACACGCTGCACTTAAGCAAGCAACAGACAACAAAAGAGCGCCTCCAGATTTTGAGAAGGGCCTGGGGAAAAAGGACATTACAGTAAGTTGTGTGGTAAACACAGATTTGCTGGGCATGACTGGGGGATTGAACTTTGCCGGGGTTGGACTAGATGATCTCTAGAAGTCCCTTCCATCCCCTAACAATCTGTGAATTTGTGACTGGACCTCAGGTGCTGTGTACAGCACTGAATGTTAGTCACGTAGGCATTGACCCTGCACCGGGCAATGTAGCTACAACGCACCGGTAACTTATAGGGAATCCATGCCCCATCACATTGTACTCCAGTCAGCATCATGCCAGAGCACAGGGACCCAGTAAATAAGATCTATTCCATCACCAGAGGATTGAGTATCACTTAACTAGTATCAGCTACTCAAAATACCTCTGATGAGATATTGAGGGAGAGATGGATAAACTGCATGACATGCACGAGTTCAGAAAGGGTATTCTTACATTGTTTCTTGGAGTATAGACTTCAGAGGCTAAAGCAAAAGTAGGAAAATGGAACTGCTCATAGCCTATCATAATATAAGCTGCCAGAAGCAGTCTTACACGTTGCTGGCCTTCATTTGTTGTATGCGAGTTGCTTGCTAAGTATCATCAGAGATACTCTTTCACAAGAAACTCCTCCAGCTTGAGCAGTGAGCCCTCTAACGCAAACATGAACATGCTCCAGATAGTAATACCCTCCAATGGGAGCTCATCGTTTCCTCCTAAGTCCAAATAAAGTAGAACTGTATTTTAAAAAAAAGATAACATTGAATCTCAAAGATAAAGAAATCTTGGCTAGCCACCAAGATCATGTTTCTGAAGCTCCACAGAATGAAAGCTGAATTAGCAAAAGGACAAAACCTGGTAGGAGTCAGACTCTACTTCTCTTGTGCAGGGAACAAGCACATCTCAAAGGACAATATGCAGCCCTTATTTCTAAGGTGCGGTGTATTTTTTTAATGCAAATGAAACAGTGAAATTAACTGCTGAAGGGCAGGTTTGATTGGGAATTTCCTTAAGTACCCTTCACTGAACCTGTCATTTGAATCAGTGTTTGACTGATTATGCATTCCAATTTCAGCTAAAAGCTAGGGCATTAAGTGTCTCAGATAGCAGGATCTGTCTCTTGGTTGTTTAAATAACGGTATACACAACTGAACACATTAAACTCACAGCATTGTGCAGGTTCAGAGTAAAGCAAAACATGCTTCACGTTCCCCCTCAGAATTTTCTCTCTCACTGCCTGCTCAGACACTCTCCACTCCTCTTCATGACTGTTATGCAGATTAAAGAACTTCACACACAGCACAGGAAAATACTATGGGCTGTAAAAGGTTTTTGTAGAATGCTTTTTACATCTCATTCTAGTATCTTTTTTACCCCCCTAAATTAAAATTAAGTCTATTTACAGTTTCTATGATGCCTGCGTCAGCTGCTAGATCCTTGATTTTGCAAAGCACTGGCACATTAGGTATATGCCTGGAAGGTTCTGCTGAATAAGAAACTCATAAACATATGCTTATCAATATTAATTCTTTTGCAGATATAAAACATGAATTTATTAGCATAATCTAGTGGTTAACACCATGTCTAGTCCCCCATCACAAATCCATATGTCTTAAACTGGGATATTGAAGGAAGCTGATAGGATTCGGCTAAGCTGTAAACATCTATTTCCTCCTGAGTTGGGCTAAGCCACGAGGAGATGACAACGGTTATGTTGGCACCAGGCCTCCTACCTGTGGAGCTGCCTGAATTGGAGGAAGTGTCCTGAAGATAACATATGGTCTGTAAACTGGATATACATTACATCATCTATTGAATCATCA